AGCGCGGAGCAGGCCCCGCCAGCGGCGCGGCCCGGCACGGTGAGTCCGCGAACGCGGCCCTTCGCTCCCCCCCCGGCTCCCGAACAGCTGCCGGTTATGCAGAGAAGCGGGCTCTTTATTGTCTACCTGGAGGATAATTCCCTGCTTAAAATATCCAGTGGGATTAATGAGCTAATGACCGTGGCGTTGCTCAATTTATTCAGAGTCATAAACTCGATTTATTCAGAGTCATAAGCACTCCCTGACTGAAGTTTCTTGCTGTTGGGATGACCCCGAGAGTCCCTTTTTCCTAGCCCAATGGTCTAAGAAAGAGTAGGAATTCTCCAGCTCTGGTTCACAAGGTTGTTTATTGTCTTTTATCTAAAATATTTTTTCTCAGACCAGCAGAGTTCTGTCTAGCAGGTCTGTCCAAGGCACAGTGCCCGCCCCTGGGCTGGTGTCTACATTTTATACTACATGTTATGTGTACTTTATTTATCATTATTTTCCAATCGCTTATGTTAGACAGTCTGCCTCTACTCTAGACCAATCTAAATGTGCCACCATCACCAAGAAGATGGAGGTTAGGAAGAAGAAGGAAGAAGAATAGGACAACACTCAGGTCCCTCCATCTTGCCTCCTAGACCCCCTATAATAAAATCCCCAAAACTCCATTTTTCACTTGGTGATTCATTCATTATTACTCTACTTCTGTGACTTGTGATTCTTCATACAAGGTTGGTAATTTGCTCCATGGGTTAAGACCGAAATCCCAAGTGTCTTTGGCTTCCTGCCAGGACTCCCCAGCCCCCTGCCAGGTTCTTCAAGCCCCTGCCAGGGCTCGAGCCATCCAGGGCACCCAGAGGGGAGTCCTGGGTTCCAACACCTGGCAATATTTTAGAGATGACAAATTGTAAATTGCTGTGTTTGCCTGAGTCATTCTATTATATAAGATCCCTGTTCAGTTGCTTAGAATCAGCTAGAATATAATCATCAGGGATGGATTTTCAGATTCTGGATGTCAGCCACAGACCTGATTTTTTGGCAACCAAAGCTTGTTCAGCATATTTGTTAGAAACCATGAAGGAAAAATAGAGCTTGCCAATACAAAACCAAGGAGATGAGTAAACATAAACAGAGCGGCCATTCAGCTCCTCCAACACTGGTGTGTTATGTTTGGAAAACTGAAGCTGGAGCAGGGCTGTGCAGTTTCACATGGGATGGCCTTTTAATCAAAAACACATCTTTTGCTCTCCTTTGAAAAATCACCCAGATGCAGTCAGGTAGTATTTCTTTAAAGAAATCCCACATGGCATGTTTTTCCAAGATAAATTGGACATTTGGATGTTAAAAGGTGCTAAATCTCTAAAGCAGGTCCACGAAGGTGCATGTTCCTCACATCATTGGTCTGCAACCACACTGCACATACGCCATCCCATTAAGAAACCAGCCAGACAAGAGTGGGGCCTGGGAAACTGGAAAGGAAGAAACTGAGCCCCTGGGACCATAGGAAAAGATCTCAAAAAGATCTCAGGACCAGAGCCAAGATGTGGCTGAAAAAAGAACAGGAGCTTCAGGACTGGAGCAGGGACAGGAGAAGGAGTGGCTGGGACTGGCTGCAGGGTAAAGGATGGCAGAGAGGCAGAAAGGAGGGACTGCTGGTCTCTGCTCTTCGGGGACATGAGAGGTAAAGGATGACAAATAGGTGCAAACAAGAGAAAAGCTGTAGGAATCTAAAATGAGAGCAGAAAAGGGGGAAACAGGTCCCATAGAGGGAGAAAGGGAAATGAGTTGACAGAACTTAGAAAGTAAGCTTAAATTAGAACCAAAAACAGACAAACAAACAGAAGAACATAGATGAGGCCATTAGCATGTTTATTGCTACCATCAGAAATCCTGCACAAACAGCAAAGGAGAAGGACAGTCCATTCCAGCATTCTGGAAGTGGAATTCACACTGCATCCAGCCATCACTGTCCTGAGGGGAGCAACTACAAACCTTGAAGCCATGAGGACTTTCTTTTGCTTAGATGTTTTGCTAAAAGTTTGCAAGAACATTTACTGTAGCTAATAAGAGGGACAGGCTGAAGGGAAGAATCAGACAAAGTAAGAAAAGCAAAACCAAACAAAAAGAAAAAATCTGGGCATCAGCTGAAGCACTGATGATCCACTTGCTGAGTACTGTTAGTACCTGATATGCGCGATGAGAGGAGCTAATTGCATTAGCTTTGACGTGAGGGATACAGTAAGGTACCTAATGGAATTACTGCAGGGGGGTGGAGCAGGAAGAAGGAAGCTGGTTAGGATATTTATCACAGGCAAATATTGCCCCCAGAAGGAGGAGACGGTTCCAGTTGCTAAGTCATGCTGGAGACAGTGCTAGAAGCAGCACCCTGGCTATTTCCAAATTTGCTGTCGTTATTTATATTCCATTGGTCAAAGCAGTAGAGAGGTCCACATTCCCACTGCCAAATAGGAGGATTTGGCCTCATGAAAAAATCTGGCATCCCTCACTCATATATTTCCTTGGCACAGTGGGCAGGAATGTCAGTGAGCATTTATCTATGGATAAGGTATTGGATGAGCAATTACTTGAAACTGAAGGGTAACCTTCAGAGCTGAGGACAGCAGAGAGAGATGTCACTCAGCCACAGGCAGAAAGGTGGAAATCCCTCCCTGTGATGGGGTAGACATAGCACACATCTCTGCCCAGGTTAAAATAACTCCCCAGAGCAATACAGAAAGAGAGAATGATTTCCTAGGCAGGAGAAACCTGCAGCGGGGGCTGAGGAGCAGCATTTGGGCTCTTTGCTTGTAGAGATACACGAGTGCTTACAGAGGGGGAAAGGGCTCCCACTTAGCTTGGTCTGCTAAGGCCAGCTTGTCATCTCATTTGAAAAGTCCAGGAGCAAGATCAGAGGCTTTCCAGAATGACTTAAGCAGCTCCACAATCACTTATTTTGACACCACAGTAGATGATCACTCTGCTCTTTCGGCTATAATCAAATCTGGTGGGACTGTAACCTGTATCTGGGCTCTGTCCATATCTGGGTTTTACTGCATGGAAGGAGGTTTTTTATACAAGCTGTGCCAATGGGATAATTGCAGCTAATATCATGTTTCTTATGATTTACAGTGGGAATTACTGAACAGGAGTCATCCAAGTCCTATAATCACCTGTTGGATGGAAAATCTTTGGTAAGCAAATAGAGCAAGACCAGCTACCAATGCATCTTAAAACCTGTATCCATCAGCGTGTCCCACAGTAACACCACATCAGCCTGTTGCAGCACCTGCAGATTTCACAGCCCTTGTTAAAGCTTGAAACATGATTTATGCCAGAGGATCCCTTAGCTGGGAGCAGAGACAGAGAACTGCCCCTCAGGGACCAGGAAGAGTGGTGGGGTGGAAACAGGCAGGCTCCTGCTCTGGATGCTCAGCCACCTGCAACAGCTGGCAGAAATTAACCTCTTGTCTCTCAGGGCCTTTCACAAATTGGGAAAAAAATATTCTCAAGTGGAACAAGCATCAAATAATTTGTTTTCTCCAGAATGCCAAGCTGACACAATAATCTCCAAAGTCAGAAGTATAAATAAAGAGTTGATGGGAAAATTATCATACAAACCCCCAAAATGTGTTCTCTAATAGACAGAAAAAATATTTTTGTTAAAAATTATTCACCTTTACTAAAATGTTCTGCCTCCCTTCTTTGTTTTACAGTGCCCCCCTAATTTTCATAGTCTCTACATTTAATAAAAACTGACTTTTTCAAAGAATAAATATTATTTTGAATAGTTTCTGGCCAACACCAGATCATGCTGTTGAAACTATGGTTTCAGAGGCCCTTTTGGATGGCTGAAGCATGCTTGCTAGCTGATATCTGGGCTACCCTTAAGAAAAATGACAGTACAATACTTAAGGATGGTTAAAACTAATGTTATTCAGTGTAATGAATTTAATTGGACCTACCAATAATTAACACAGTTACATTTCAAAGGATGCTTGCAAAAGTGATTTCAAACATCTCTAAGCCTTAGGATACTTGAAAAACACACCTAAATGTACCCAGTCTCAGGTTAATCCTAGGAGAAATAGCCCTAGAAAGCTTAAGACCAGTTATGGTAGTGACAATAATATGAACTTTTTTTTTTCAGGATTGCCAGTAAAATCAATAAGTGTGCTTGTTGCCTGAAATAATGAGATCACCTCACAATTTTTGACTTTTTTTTTTTCTATTTCTGAGCAACTCACACTTAAACTTACCATCTTGGAGGATATGCTGTTCTCAGAGACCTGTTTGTGGGAAAACGTGACTCAGTTCTGGTGGGCAATTTATGATCAAATAAGACAAGGAGGAAGTGGATGATTAGGCACTTGTGGGGCTGTGGCAGAACTGGAGCATAACCAGGGTGCCCCCACACCACAGAGCAGCACACAACAAAGCAGGGAAACATCTCTGAGTGCTGAAGGAGCTGTGATGGCTGAGACATCTGCTTCCCAGGCAGCTGTAGAGGTGGGAGCAGCAAGAGGCAAGCTGCTCACTCTGCACACAACCTCACTGCCTCAGGAAGATAAACACAAAAACTAGGGAATACAACGTTCTGCAAGTGTCCCTTCTTTGATGGGAGGTGTAAATCTGGCTCACTCAGTCCTGTGCTGAGCTCAGTGAGAATATTCACATGAGCAGCTGGTAACTGTGTGGGTGAGAGTTGGGCCGTCAAATCCTTAACCTGCTTTCTCTTGTTAAGAGATTTACAGCATTTATTGGTTTTCTTAAAACAGCCTCTTTCCTCAGATGACCCGGTGTCCCCACTCATCAGTGGCATTTCCTGATGATGTGCTTTATCATCCCACAGATCCCGCCATCTCCAGTTGCCCACATCACGGTGAAAGCTGTGGCTGTCACGGGCTCGCCCACACGCGACCGCACTTCTATGGAAGAGTAAGTCCCTTCCCGCCCTCCAGACTTGCCTCTTGCTTCCCAAAGGTAGGGAGAGATTCTAAAGGTTATGCTGATTTTGATATCAGCCATGGCCATTTATACAGCTATCGCTGTGCCCATTACAGCTCTACTTTATCACTAGAAAAAAAATCATTGTGATTCAAAATAAAAGTATTTTCCCCCTAAGAAGTCTGTAATATTTGCCCTAAAATGTGATTAGAAAATGTAATTCATTGAAGAAAAAATTATATCTTAAAGTGTAATTAAGGAACAGCTTGACCATAGTACAAATGCACTCATCACCAGGCAGTTAACCCAGACATGGGTCTGGGTGGGATTTGAGATGCCACCATTGTCACAGTGTCCTCGCACTCCATACACAGAGATGTAAGTTCCCCTCAGCCAGTGGAGCTCATCACTGCCATGTGGTCCCTTGGGGCTTTGGAGGAAGGGCCCAGCTCTCTCCTTGGGCAATCCCCCTGCTCCTTGTTGGGTGGCAACTGCTAGAAAGGATGCACTTAGAGCGGTCCCACTTGCAGCTCATCCCCTTGTGTCAGTGTCCCCTCTGACAGTGAGGGAGCAAGGGCACCAAGCTGAGTGGTGGCAGCTGCAGCATCCCATCCCCCTGACCCACAGAGCCCCTGCTCATTCCAGACTTGCTGATCCCAGGGGTGGGCCAGGCGTGGGCACACATTTCAGCCAAGCATGGAAACACCTTTTCAGCCAGGCAGCTCTTGGTTCTGAGTGGCTAGTTGCCATAAGCAGGGAAGAAGGGCCAGAGAGAAGCACTCTGCACACAGCTGGTGTTTTATTTGTCAGCCACAGGCAGCGCTGGAGGAAGACAACAGAGTATGACCTGGCCCTGCCACCGGGAGCAGAAGCTTCCCTACCACTGACAGGAGGCAACCTGTGTGGGACACCCAGCCTCCTGAGGAAGATGTGGATGAAGCACAAGAAGAAGTCAGAGTACCTGGGGGCAACAAACAGTGCCTTTGAGGCAGACTGATAAGGCTCAGCATCCCTTGGAAAGGCAGAGGGCCCTTTAGCAGGACAAGGTGCTTAAGGATCCATGAGGGAACGGACACAGCACAGCTCATCCAGAAAAATTATATCCTTTTTGCTACTTGATGCCATTGCCTCAGAACAGCGGGAGAAAGGCTAACAAAGGTAAAAATGGTGAATATGATGCAACTCAATGGCCTTTCCTTGTTGCATTACACTAAAATCCTGACTAACCCACTAGATTTACCTCTTGACTCAATGCTGAGACTACTGCTGACCCATTCAACATTTCCTGTGTCCTGTCTGAATGAGCTTGGACTTGCAACAAGAGAAGCCTATGGAGAGTTTGTGTATTCCTGCAAGGCAACAGACTGATTACAGAGTGCCATTAAATCCCAGGGATCTGCCTGTGCACCACTGCCTGTCATCTTTCCCCTCTCATATCATGAGATAAAAAACTCATCTTGTGATATGCTTGGCTGAACGACACATGCTAAAAAACATCTTTTCCTTCAGTTTTGATGTTTCAAGGCAGGAGTAAAAGATGCAGAAATTCTAAAACAATGGACCAGAACTGAGCAAGTTTGCAAACATATGTACCAAATTTTGCTATGTGACAAATGACTTGTGTTTTGAGTTGTCTTGCCAGATCAAACTATGAGCAACAGGATACCCTCAAGGGATACTTTCTGCTGTAGAACCTGCTTATGAGTGAAATGGTAGTCAGCAATTTACCCTCTACCCATGTGGTAGAGGATATTACATTAAGTGCACAAAATACTAGGAGGAAGGAAAAAATGTAAATGGTGCAACTAGGTGACTAAGTATAAGATATTTGCATGTAAGAGACCCGTGCTTATGAATAGATGGATTCAATGGGATTTGCTTTAAAAAATTTTCTCTTTTTTTTTTTTTTTTTTTTCAATTTGGAAATTGCTGGTCAGGTCCTCTTCAGTTTTTTCTCTCAAAAAAGAACAAAAAATAGTTTTACAAAAAAGTTTTCACCTCTGTTATGGACAATATTACATTAGCCATGAGCAGTACTTGCCTTCTGTGAGTGCTCTCCTATTTATTATAAAAAACCACTGGTTTCCCTAAATACAGAACTTTATATTTAAAGTCAGAGGAGGCGTATCTCCTGTTGTTTGTAGTAATGATGACCTCTAATCTAACCTCCAATGCACCAAGGCGTAAATTAAAAATAAAGCTCTGACTCTGGGACAGCAGCAGAGGGAAGGAGCTCCCCTCTGCAGCTTGCTTGCCTGCAGCCCGTGCAGTGAAATCACTGAGGTGCCATCACACCCATGCCATGGTGGTGAGGGGCATGGGGTGAGGGACCCCTGCTCAGGGGTCACCCCTCAGGAGTACCAAGGGACCACCTGGATGGGAGGGAAAGACAGCCAGGACTTCTGGCTTTGGGTTGAGCAGCACACAGGAGAGGTTTGCAGCTTGACAGCCTGAACAACCAAAGTTCATGGAATGGGAAAACAAATGGAACAGGCCAGTAGCTTTACAGAGCATACAGGTCCTGATGGCTGCAAGGAGGGCAACAGCAAAAACCTATTTGGGGCTGGACATGTTGGAAATGGTAGTAGGATGGGGATGAAAGTTCTTACTTAAAAAGGTACTGTGGCTTTTCTTACTGCTAGAGCCAAGTCAGTCCAGTGTGCCAAGGAGAGAGAGGCACTACACCTTCACGCAATACCTCTGCTAGCCTCCTGTTCAGCTCTCCATCACTGCCCCAGTCACAGGCTCCTCTGTCAGGGGTGCTCTACTGGCCAGAGGAAAACTTTGCACCTGGAAACCACACGGACTTTTCCTCCTCATTACCAAAGTGAAAGTCCTTCTCTGGCCCAGCAGCCCACGACAGGGATGATCTGCTCGCCAGTTTTCTTTTCTTGCTCCTGGGAAAAAAGTAGAACATAGTTCCTTGTGAACCCCCTGCTGGCAGTGGAGACCCCGTGTTGCCCATGTGTTCTCTGCATGAGAGAGCAATGCTGACACCCACTGAAGGCTGCTCACCTGAACAGTTCCCTGTGAGAGGTTTCTCACCTTCAAACTAGAGCGTGGCACACTGATCCTGTGCAATAGTCTGAGCACCCTGACCCTGCCAACATCAGGTCCTGTGACTGAGCCAAGCTGGAGCCATGGTCAAGAGTTTCCTGAAACATTTTTTACAACCATCGCTAACCACACTTCAGCCCGCTCCTCAGCCCATAGAACTCTGCCAGAAACCCATATTGTATTTTTGCACATATAGGTAAACCTAGTAAATTCAGTGGCACTGCTCCCCTGCACAGCAGTACACACATTCAAAGAGCTGGGAGAAAACCAATCACTGCTTCCCCTTTTTTGTCTCATTTCCTAAGCAAAGGAAAAATAAGGATGATGGACAGACCCTGGGAAAAGTTACTGAATTAGGTGTAATTAAGGGAGTGAACATTTGTGGTACCTGCTCTTGTAGTTAACATGGCCCAAAAAGTAATCAAACACAGTCCAGGGCAGCAATAGTTTTGCTTGTTGAGGAAGTTGCATTGTAGAAATAGTATTTAATTTATTAATTAATAGCTTTGAGCAGTGTGAGGATGGGGGTGGAGAATATTAATATTTCTTCTTAATAATTGCTGTATTTTGGCATGTGTATTTATGCTTTTCTTATTTATTTATTTAAAATTTGGATCTACAAGAGAAGGAGCTATTTTAAAGAAGCATATTTAATTTCTTTGTATTCCAGGAACTGCTGTGGAGACTTTTTGTATTGTAGTATTTATTTTATTGATTTAAAACTATGTTCTATACTTTAAAAAAAAAACAAAACCAAACAACAAAATAAACAAGTAGCATGTGGTTACATATGGATCTCAGAGAATTAGGAGTTTTTGGGAAGCATTTAGTGGCAAGTAAAAGAGGGTGTATGATACTGAAAAAAGGTGAATCTCTGATAGCAAAGAACATGAACTTTGTTCTCCAGAGCCTGAAAGTGTATTTGTGAGCAGCTTCAGTATTGTCCAGGTGATAGAACCATTTTGTTATCAGATGTGCAGAGAAAAGCCCTGGCACTGTCAGCAGCTAGAAATCAGACACAGCTGTACACACCTGACCTCAAGCACATCCCACACACAGCATTTGCTCACCTCCCTCTCACCAAATAAGAGTGCCAAGACAGAGACTCCTGAAAGGATTTAGGGCTCTGGTAGATAATAAAGCCAATGGAGTTGTCACCAAAGTCACTGAACTTACCTCATAGACAGCCCTGGCTTTGGAGAGCCCCTGCTGAACCACGGCCCAGCCTGAGGTGGATGGCACAGGAGCACAGGAGCCCAGCCTAGGGAAGGTGACTCAGGACTGAAGTGGAAAGAATTCAGGACACAAGGAAAAAAGCTTATGGTGTGGGCATGGTCTGTCAACCCAGACTTCACAGCTCCCCATTAGAGGATGACTTATTCCCTGCCTGCCACGCTGCCCATAGTCACACAGCTCTGGTGAAAGGTTGCCACATTTCTGGCTCTTCCATTACAGACACCGTCTACGTTTAATATGAGCAGCCAGGGAGTGTCCTCTTGGTGAGTGTCCACACCACAGGAGCTGCCACAGATTTTTTCCAGGACCTGGCCTCTGCTGGGAACTCATCTGGAAATACCTGATCTTTAGCTGTGCATTAAAAATACCAGCATGAGTATGGAAGAGGATGTGGATGTGCAACATATTTTCCAGGTGAAGTTGTACAGAAAGCTGCATTAGGTTGACTCCAGCACGCCGTCAGAAAAATGTGAAATAGTGATTACAAAAATAAGTGAACTTTACCATTTTTCCACCAAAGACACAAGCTGTTAACTGTGCAGCCAAAAGCATTGCCTCTGGCACTACCAGACACGAGCCTGATGTAATAATTTATAACATCTGTGAGAAGATGCATTTTTCAGACATATTTCATTTATAATTTGGTGTTCCCCAGAACTAGAGACTGACTAGGGCACTGATCTGACAGAAAGAGACTGCATGATGACAGTCCATCCTGCTTACAGCCATTTATAATTAATTTCCTCCCAAAAAAAGATTTCTAATTTCTCCTCACCATTTCAAAACCATCTTTGTGATAGAACTACTCACTAAAAGATGCATAATTGCTTTGCATACCACTTTATTTAAATAAACTGTAGTGAATTTAGGCTGGGCTAGTATATAAAATAATTCCTACTGATGCATGAAAAAACCACCACAGATATGCCTTACTTGCCTTTCTTCCCCTTTTGCTCTCGCTTTACAGGTCCTGTAGCAAGCAGGTTTGCCACAAGAGTCAATCACAGACACGTCACTATTTGAGGGAATACCACATCCTTTATACAGAAAATATTTAAACCCAAACATTGACATCAGCAGAATAATTTTACTTCTGTAAGTTACCCAGTAAGAAAAGTTGCAATGTCAGGACTTGGACACACAAAAATTGAAACAAGTCAGATTTCTCAGATGAGACCCCCTGATAAGAATCTCTACAAACAATACAGATGTCAAATAGACACTATTATCTATGCAAAGTTTTTAGAATCTCAGCATTAACTCTAGAGATGATTCACCAGTGAGCAGCTAACCCTAAACCTTTGAGGTGAGTAATGATGTCATTCTGGGTAGTCCCAGTCTCCTACTTATGATTACCTCCTGTTAGTGTATCATCAATGTCCTGGCAAACTTTCACTCCCTCTTCCACCCGTATCTTTTCCAATTCTTTTGCCAGCACATGGTGGGTTAAGGTGGTTGAATGCCTGCAGCCCTGAGGAAGCCCTGTAAAGGTACATGGTTGCCCCCATACACAAAGGCAAACTGATGTTGATCCCCTTGCTGCAATGGCACCACACAAAACATGTCTTTAATATCAGCAGTGGCCATGACCCTGTGTGCCTGCTCCTGGATGCTGGCTGTGAGCTCAGTGCTGTTTGGTACAGCTGCTGGTAAGGGTCTGTGTCAGCACTGAGGTGGCAGTAGTCTACAGTTCATCTCCATTTACCATTTGGTTCTCACACTGGCCATGCTGGGGAACTGGAAGCTGAGTGAGTGGGGATAATTTCCCATTTTTTCACCTCCTCTAGGACTGGGGCAATTCCCTCCCAGACCCCCAAGAGCAGTCATGAGAGTTTGACATTTGTAAGTTTTGAAGGGGGAAGATGTGGGGCCATCAGCAAGTCTAACTTGGTGCTTGGTGGTTCCAGAGGACCACTGGCATCTCAGATTGTCAAACTCTCCCTTTCAAAACATCCAGTCCCAGTAAACTTAAAAGGAAGTCCCCCTGTTGCCATGGTAACAGTTATGGTAGCTTCTTCTCCAGTAACATAAGAACAACTGCAGTGGTAGTAACTGGTTGTGACACCCCAACACATTCACTACAAGCAAGGGCCATTTGG